CAACTATGACAGAATGTCTCAAAAATACGTTACAATACAAAACTAAGGCATCTAAAAATATTTTATTTTACTACTGCAAAGAAGAAGGTACTATAATGTTGTAACATTAAAAAGATATTAAAAGATTTTAACGTTAAACATTTAAATAAATAATTACTATTAAAAGTTTATTTTTTCAAATAGACAATTTATCAATCTATTAGATGTAAAAATAAAAAATAGAGTGTCCCATTTAATTTTTTTAAATTATTTAATTTTTAACAAACTTCTTAATTTACTAATCTTTACAAATGCAGAACACCAAAAAATTGCTACAGCTTTAAGTTCTGTACTTTCTTAAGAAAAAAATTGTTCTAGCTGTCTTAGTTATTGTGTAATACATTTTTAAAAAGTGCATGTTTTCGTCAAAAAAGTCTTATTTCTAAAACTAAGCGAAATCGACTATTAAAAGTTTAGCGCAAAAACATTGTTTTAAAAGGTTACATCCAAAAATGTCAAGAAACATACGGTGTTTCATTTAAAAAAAACATAATTTTGTATCGTAATTTATTTTTGGGACATGCTGTATGTCCTATACATTTTTTTTAATTTACCATTTAAAGGTCACTAATGGACTTTTTCAACTCGCTGGAACACCTTGTATGTATATTACATTACATTCAATCAGAAAAAGTGTGATAAAAAACAATAAATTATATTTATTCATTCCTCTATGTTAAAATTGAATTTTATCACTCTTTTCTTCATGTTAAAATGAAATTTTTTCGTCTAGATGCTAAAAAATACATCGATTGTTGTATATCTGCGGTTGTTAGTTGTTAACGATCTTTGACATTAGTTCATTGTTGAATTTTACTTGACATTTACAAATATCGACCAAATTGACTACAAAATTAGTGAGGCTTGAATAAAATTTTATTATTGCTCTCAAAGATAAAATTAATTTTATTGTCTTGGATAATAAATAACTATAAATATTAACATAATCGCTTGTTTATTGATTCTATACCTAATCAACAATTAAGAAATTTATTACGGGGCGGATAACAGGGAGTGCGGATAAGCGAGGTTTTACTGTATTAAAGAAACCCGTTTTCATACATTAGAACTATTTTCATTTATATATTTTTTAGAAAACACAAGAATTTTAATTATTTGTATTTTTCAATTTTCTAATTTTTTTAACACTATGTAAATAATAAAACAAATAAAAATTTACATTTAATTTGCACGTGATTACTCGAATATTTTGAGTTAATCACTACTTTATGACCTCATTTATGTATCGAGTACTTTTATCAGGTTATGAGTAGAAAAGAAATAAATTAAAAGATAGTCTGAGGAGTCACTTGTGACACCAGAAATAAATTTGTTACCCACGCTGTAGATAAAAATTGAGTTATGGTTTTCACTCGGAGGCCCTATTTTTTCCATTTCCCTTATTAAATCATCCCTTAACAAGGATTTAATCCACTTTGGCGCCAAGAACCATCGCAAATGATCCGTGTAAAAAGCGAAAGTGGCGACATTGGTCTGTAATAAAGTGACCTAGTGACCGATATGTGACTAAGCCATCCATTGTAACACCGACGCAAATGCGATACTTGTGGATATTTTCACCCTATTTTTCTGCCTATATCGTCTCCAGTTTGCACCAGCGTTTCTCCAACAACGCGAAAATTCAGTTTGGGTAATTTCCGCACGCGGGAAAACTATAATGCGAGACGTTTCAATCTCATGGCTTATATGGTATAAATGCTAATGTCTTGGGCAAGGACGTGGGTAACATTAAAAAGCGTTCGATGCTTACGGTTATTTTTAGTAATGTATGTATTTGGTAAGTGGGATTTGTGACAGTCATTCGTATTTGAGACGCAATCTGGACTTAAAACTGAGATCATGAGCTGAATTAAGGACGATTTGGCACAAAAATGGGCGAAAATGCAAACATTAAAAGATCAAACATTTTCTAATTGCAGATTTTTTACTTACTGGGCCAAAATAAAGTATTTTTATAAAGCAAAATGCTCCTTTAAAAGGGAGAAACATTTTGGAAATCAAATTCGCTATTGTTTTATATTTTCCCTTATAAAAATAAAAATGTTTTCATTAAGACACTGTACTTTTTGGAAGTATTGGTTTGGTAAAGATTTTTACACCTAAATATGATTTCCAGCAAAAAAAATCCCATTACGTTGTATCAAATGTAACTTGAAATAAGTTGAATGTTTAAACAAATTTAAAAAGTAGTATTAGCTTTTTTGACATAATTACGACCTGTCTAAAAAATCTGGTGTGAACATCACACAACTTTCCTTATCCTACTTATTTAGAAAACATCCTAATAACAACAATAATTTAGTGTAACCCTTGCGTTAGTACCAACTGTCGGATTACACGCGAAATAGATTATAGTTGTCGCGGGTTCGAGTCTGGGGTGCAATTTTTTTTTAGTTTGGTATGCATTATTATTTTTATTTTATCACATTTTACTGTATAATAAGGTATATTTCATGATTTTAAATAATGTTTATTCCTATGAATTTATTGTATAATTTTGCGGCCGAACGGTGCCACCGATTTTTACCAATTGTTTCGTGCTACGTCCCCTTGCTACAAATAACTTACATACCAAATTTCAAGAGAGGGAGAGAGAGAGACGACCCAATGGCCCAAACCAACTTCTTTGGTGTCTTGAAGCTATAATATAGGTCAAATTTCAGCCGATTACAAGTAAAAATGTGTAGATTACAGTAAATATGTTTTGTTTTTTTACTAAATAAATTATGAAATTTGTAATCAATTCAATAAATAATAATTAATATCCAACACAGACGTTGAGCCATAAGTTGGGACACTTTGAATAAAGATGTTACATTAATTTTCTTAAGTGGCCACACTTGGTACTCTACTTACTGTTTAAATATTTTCTGCACTTCTGTTTATAACTGTAACAAAAGTTATTTCTATTTAACCAAGTTTCAATTGATGCTAATTTATTTCTCATTTATCTTTGTTATGTACAAGAGAAACATTAATCATTTGTAATGATTAAAAATAAAAAAATAAAAAAAAGGATAAAAAACCATAGAATTTCTGTTTAATTGATTATTATTATTTGTCTTCACAACAAACGTATATCAAAAACCTTCTAACTTAGAACTTGAAAAAAGTAAATAAAGTGTTTTTTTGTAAAATAAGCAAAATTGTCCGTAAGGGGATCTAAAATAGTCCGAAAAGTACTACTTTTCCGGACTCATATGTCATTAATGAAAATCATCTGTAAAGTTAACAAATTAGTCTGTGAAATGTCATGTTATTTTGTTGGTTGCACGTTTTTTTATATTTTTTCATAACTAGAATTACTATTGTAGAGAAAAACATAATGTACACCTCAAAACTAAAGTTTTACACACATATGCCTAATAAAAAAATCAAGTACAGGGGGTCTCAGTTAATTCTATCAAAATCTTTAAAACGTTAAAAAATATTTAAATTTAAATATTAACCATTTATAAAATTTAAAGTTTTTTTCTTAATTTGTTAGTAACTTTCATGTAAGTATGTACTTATATGTGAATATTTATTATGACTTTGGATTTTGTAAAATAAAAATATTTTTTTTTGGTTTAATGATTTACACAATTTAGAAAAATAATTAAGTCAGTTTGTTGTTTCACATTTTTTAAAATAACGTGACTAAAAAAATACAATAATTTAGCTAGAAAACTATACATTACTTTCGATTTTTTTGATGCTTGAAAAATAAACCCTTAAAAAAATTGTCTAATTACAAAATTTATCTGGCAAAAAATGTTAATTCAAAATTTTAATCCATATATATATATATATATACAGGGTGCGCCAGAACTCGCGCCCCAGAGAAAAATGCCATATAAGGTAATTTACCAGGAACATGGAAAAAATGTTAAAAAAATTTTATCTAAAAAAATTTAAAGTTTGCACTTTGACTGTATTTATTTCTGTTGGAAAAATATTTTTAACTCTGTTTAATATTATTTGTGGCTTTTATTGGCAAAATTTTTATCCCTTTACTAAATAATTGTAAAAAACATATACAAGATCATCAGTATCATTAAATAGATATAAAAAAATGTCAAATGTCAAAAAATATGTCAACATTTTTTGGTACAGATAGAATTTTTTAAAGATTTTTTCATGTTCCTGGTATCTTACCTTACTTGAAATTTTTCTCTGGGGCGCGAGTTCTGGCGCATTCTGTATATACGATTCAATAGTGGTATAAATTTTTCAATTTTTTTTATTTTGAGTTAATTTTGTTGTATTATTTAAGTTTACCTTGTTGCTTTCTTATTCTAAAATTTTTAATTCATAAATAATAAATCCGTAGCAACTGTAATTTATAATTACAGCGTGATTCAAAAATGTCGGACTAACTCTCGAATGGTGATAGAAGACCTTCAGCTAAGCATAAAAATAAATTCTTGTTTAAAACTTTTTTTTTGAAAAAAAAAAAACAGAAATGACAGTTTTCATAATATCATGTAGGCACCTTAGTTGTTTTGTTTCCGATGTTGTTAGATTTAATTTATTGTTAATTTGCTAGTTTGTTAAATGTTTTTTACACCATAAGACACAAATTGGTTTTTTTTCCAACTAAAATCAAAATTACATAATCGAAACACCCAAAAACTAAACCCAAAATTTAATCTTTGAAGAATTATATTTCGTGAAAAAAGACTCAAACAATTTTTTATCACCACCCAAGAGATGGTCTGACACTTTTGAATCACCCTGTATAATTTTTGTACAAGATGCTCGATTAATTGTTACAATGTTGGGCTACAGGAGTCCCAAAATTAACAAAAAACACTTTTGTTTAGCTCTTTTCTGATTTCTTGAAAGCATACACCACTCGCTACGTTCGTAACTAACACCCATCAGAACTTGATTCAAAATTTTGAGAACTTCTCACAGCCATCCCAACCTACTCAGCAAATCTCGGTGGGGGTTAGGGGAGTGTTAGATGTTAGAGGGGGACGCGTGGGAGACGCCACCGTCGCCATCGTCGCCGTCGCGATGCCTGTAGCTCCTAGGACAGCGTCAGCCTCTGAACGCCTTCAGGCTCCCTACAGGTAGGTAACAAGTGTTGTGTTTGCACCTCTTAACACTTCTTGCAGCTTCATCTAACACTGAAAATTTTCCAAAAATCGGGCAAAATTCTGCATTTTCGTGTTTTTATGTGGGTCGGTGTATTTTTATGCATCCATTTCGCATTTCGTGTTTGATCACCAGAACATATGCGTGGATTGTGACATAAACTCTGGCTATACTAGGAGCGGGCTAAATTTAGAACTCGGGTTTCATTCCAGATTTTATACAAGTTTTGCTAATGAAAGACGATACAGATGTGCTTAATTAACTACGTCACTTTTTATTTCGCGTCAATGGACAACATTGGATTTAATGCCTTTTAAATAAAAATAAATTACTTTGCAATCGGTTCGCAATTTGGCTAGTGATGAAGGTTTAAAAAAAGACACGGAAAGTTTTTATTGCGCTCTGTTCTATTTGTCTTAGTTTTTTGTAGGCGAAATCCCAAAATAACAATTAGAAATGGACACGGTTGATCAACTTTGAGATTCTTGGAATATTTCGAGATACATGCTTGACATAATTAGTTATTTCTGAAGTCCGAAAACCGGGTATTTTTGTGCGGTTGTGTTTTCTCGCAGATCATTTTACCTTTCTTCTATTTTTATTTTTTATTTATTTTCTGTATTATTACTGCTGCAAGCTAATATTGTTTCAGAACTGGAAAATTTAAATAAATAATTTCATCTTAATTTTAATAATTTTGGATTCTTTTTAGACGTTACTAGAAAGTAAAAATTAAAATAAAAAGATTAAATTAGATAATGTGTCAATAAGTAAATCATTTACAAAGAAAAAAATTTACTTACTTTTTAATGGAGTTTTTCACTATTCCAGAATTTTATAACAATTGAACTGGTTGAAATATTCAAAATACTGTCTCACATTTAACAATTTTCTTTATTAAAATTTGTATTTCTTTGTATAAAAATTGTAAATTGAAGATATTGAATAAAAACAGATATGTAAAAGTAATGCAATTAGGACACCAGTAATAGGAAGAAAAAAAACGGCATAATCAATAATAATATAACAATACCATTTTTTTATCGAATAAATTTTTAAATTTTTTTTATTTTTTTGTGATGACAATTTGACGAGTTGAATTTAGAAATTTATATTCTAATTAGAGTCCGATAGCGCCTTTAATGTTCTAATATGAATTTTCAAACTTCCAAATTCCAATTTAAATTTCAACTAGAATTGTTATCGCATAAAAATTTTCGTAAAATTCAAAAATTTATTTGATTAAAAGCGGTGGTTTTGGTCCTGTATACAAATAAACAGTATTCAACCAATTATACATTTTTAAATTTACTTTGGTATTTTGACAAAACTTTTCTTCTAAATTGCATTTTTGCAATGACAAAAAAGTATAAACGGAATATAATTTTTTATTTTGTATTCAATGTTAAAGAGTGCTATTATCAACTAATTTCAGTACATAAAATAGTCTTTTATCGACTAGTGAAATAAAGTAATTTTTATTTACTGCTTATATTCAAGAAATTCTGGTAGATAGTACAAAATAAAACGAAATATTATACACGACGATAAAGATTGTTTATCTACTCGTGAAAAAAAAGTGATTTATAAACTTGACTTGATAATAAAATTATTTATTTTGTACTCAATTTTAAAGCGTGCTTTTATCAACTAATTTCAAAAAATAAAGTAGTCTTTTATCGTCTAGTGAAATAAAGTAATTTTTATCTACTGTTGTTTATCTACTCGTGACTTCGTCACTCGTAAACTTAACCTTTCTACTCGTAGCTAAACAATTTTTTTAACGTCTTGTGTAATAAATAACTATTTAAACTAAAAAAAAACTGTACTAGTGCCCTGTTTTTGGAAAAATTTAACATTACATAAATTTTGTCGTTTTGATAGTTTCGATAGCGCTGATCTAATTGGTGTTTCTGTAGCAATTTTTAAACAAAAACACAATTTAATTTGTTTATCATTCTCATCCCAAGTGGATCCAATAAGAAGTACAATTTTGAAACCGGAAATAATTTAAGATCCTACAAATATATGTACTTATTTCTGAAGACTTGTTATTTTAGTGGCAAATAAATGTATCACAAATGTGACTTTAAGCAGTAAATAAAAATAAAAATTATGTAGTTAAAATACTTTTTTTTTGTCTTATGTTATATTTCTTATGATTTTAATAGTTGTGCAGAAATTTCTATACAACTTTTAAAATCATCCTGTATTAAAAAAAGTTTAGTATAAAAAATTGTTGTTTTTGTGATTTTCATTTAATTTATTTGTGCTTCCATAAACTCACCGAAATTTTTTGGGAGACTTACCTTTAATAATAATTAATCCCATAGAATTTTTATGGGTGAAAATTGCATAGTTTAAATACTAGTTTCTGGTCTAGAATAAATTTTGCCAAAAATAGTTTTGTTGCACCAAAATTTGAATATTTTTTTGTATTGTTTCAGCACTCTCCCTTGTTTCTTGTTCTTGTGTAAGCGTAAGACCAAAAAGCCGCCGCCATGGACGCGATCAAGAAGAAGATGCAAGCGATGAAGCTTGAGAAAGACAATGCTCAAGACAAGGCCGATGCGATGGAAGGTCAGGCCAAGGATGCCAACCTCCGCGTTGAAAAACTCAACGAGGAGTTGCGCGAACTCCAGAAGAAACTCACTCAAGTTGAAGGTGACCTCACCTTTACCAAGAACGCTCTTGAACAAGCCAACAAGGATCTTGAAGAGAAAGAAAAGACTCTCACCAACGTAAAATCTTTATTTTTTAAAATAAATCGAAAGTAATCTTGTTTTGGTTTAGGCTGAGGCTGAAATGGCCTCTCTTAACCGCAAAGTCCAGACCATTGAGGAGGATTTGGAACGTTCGGAGGAACGCTTGGCCACGGCTACCACCAAACTCGCCGAAGCTTCCCAAGCAGCTGACGAGAGCTCTCGGTGAGTAGCAAAAGACAATTTGGATTTCTAATAACTAGATTTTTAGTATGTGCAAAGTGTTGGAAAACCGCTCCCAACAAGACGAAGAGCGCATGGACCAACTCACCAACCAGTTGAAGGAAGCCCGTCTCTTGGCTGAAGACGCCGACAACAAATCCGATGAAGTGTCCCGCAAGCTGGCCTTTGTTGAAGATGAGCTTGAAGTAGCTGAAGACCGTGTCAAAGGCGGCGATGCCAAGATCATGGAGTTGGAAGAGGAGTTGAAAGTCGTCGGAAACTCCCTCAAATCTCTGGAAGTATCCGAAGAGAAGGCCAACCAAAGAGTCGAGGAGTTCAAGAAGCAACTCAAGACCCTCACCGTCAAGCTAAAGGAGGCTGAAGCTCGTGCCGAATACGCCGAAAAGACTGTCAAGAAACTCCAGAAGGAAGTCGACAGGCTTGAAGGTACTCTTCATGATGCTTCCAAATGCTTTAAGCTACTTTTTGCAATTGCAGATTTTGTTCTTCGCGAAAAAGCTAAATACCACAACATTATAACGGACATTGACAAGACTTTTGTCGAGATGTCCTCGCTCAGCTCGCAAAAATAATGCTTTTCTTGTGCTTTACTTAGTTTAGAACCCTTGCTTTTCCTTTCTTTAACGCTCCTGCTGCTGCTTGAATTTTGACTGGTAGGATTTTTGTTTGTGGTGTCTTTGGTTGTGGTCAAATTTTAATTTTTTTTTCTTCTAGACGAGCTTGGTATCAACAAGGATAGATACAAGTCTCTCGCCGACGAAATGGACTCCACTTTTGCCGAATTGGCTGGTTATTAAGCGAGGACGTTGCTGGAGAAACATCAAGTCCAGGAAGTCCCTTTTTTGTTTGCTATACATTTAATTTCCGGTGTATTTATATTTTAACATCTTTCTTTTACATTGTTGTTCGGTTGATAGTGTGCCCTAAGCTGCTCTATGTTTGCATTAGGAAAACCTATGAATATGTAAATTATTGAATAAAATGTAATATATTATTATAAAACTTATGATTTTTCTACTTTTCCTCATCCGTTTCCTCTCTATTTTTTATTACAGCAAGTTTCGCATATACAGGTTGACCCAAAGTCCATAACTTTTTCGCTATCTATCTCTTTCCGTTTATTCAACTTTTTGTTATAAAAAAACGAACATTTGAAAATATACTGCAAAGCCGGCTATAAACACTTTACGAAAAAAATGCAAAAGAATGTTTCTTGACATTTTTGGATGTAGCTTTTAATTACAATAATATTTTTAAGCACTTTTTTAATGGTCAATTTTGCTTAGTTTTTAAATAAGTTGCTTTTTTGACGAAAACGTACTCTTTTCAAATATTTATTACACAAAAACTAAAATAGCTACAATTTTTTGACATATTTTAAAGGTAGATTAAAAGTTAAATAACTTAAAAAGTTTAAATAAAACACTATGTTTTTTGGTTTTTGCATCTAACAGTTGTTAAATTGTCTATAAAAAATGTGAAATTTTAAAAGTCTAGCATTAATAAATAATAATTACTTACATTGACATGACGTTTTCCGCATTCGGCAGATCTACTTTAAAAATATTTTTGTTATACACAGAGTGTTGTATACAAAGTTATATTTTTAAATAAAACATTCTTAATATTTTTACATAATTAGTTTGTAAGTAAAAAAATAATAGAACTTTGTGTAAACTGTTATAAATCCATCTCTTTCCGTTTATTCAACTTTTTGTTATAAAAAAAACGAACATTTGAAAATCACTGCATAAGAAAAACTGAGAACAGTTTGTAGTTTTAGTAAATAGTCGTCTTTACTTTACAGGGTATGCCAACACGAAGAAAGTTGAATAGATTATTTTTTTTATGAAACATTCTGTAATTGTTTTCACGTATTGATATCAATTTTGACAAGCTTTTCAACGATATGCGGTTAAAATAAATTAAAAATATTTCTCTAGATTTTCAAAAAATTTTTTTGTATGATGAATCATGTTATTATCAACATTGTGTTATCCTACATCTTAATTACTAAGAAAAATTATTCTTGTGCAAAAATAAATTGTGATTTAACTAAGGTAGCAGATTTATTGACAGCATTGCTACTTGAAAAAGCTAACAATTTTTTTTGAAATACTTTTTTTTTGAAAATCTTTAGAAATACTCGTATTCCAAATTTACTAAACCCCATATCATTAAAAAGCTTGTCAAAAATGCTATCGATACGTCGAAACAAATACAGAGTGTTCTAGTTCAAAAGGATCAGTTATTCAACTTTTTGCGCGAAAACTGCGTGCAAACTAAAAGTTGACTATTTGCTAAAACTACAAGCTATTCTATTTTTATTATTTTTTTTGAAAAATATTCATAGCCGATTATGCAATAACTTCCATAATGTTATTTATTACATAGAAACTAGTATTGTGACAATACAGGGTGCGCCAAAAATATTTTTTTTGGTTTAATGATTTACACAATTTAGAAAAATAATTAAGTCAGTTTGTTGTTTCACATTTTTTAAAATAACGTGACTAAAAAAATAGAATAATTTACCTAGAAAACTATACATTACTTTCGATTTTTTTATGCTTGAAAAATAAACCCTTAAAAAATGTCTGATTACAAAATTTATCTGGCAAATTTGTTGGCAAAAAATGTTAATTCAAAATCTTAATCTACATATATACACGGTGCGCCAGAACTCGCGCCCCAGAGTAAAATGCCATATAAGGTTAGATACCAGGAACATGGAAAAAATGTTTAAAAAAATATCTATAATAATTTCGAAGTTATGAGGGTTTAAAGTTTGCACTTTGACCCTATTTATTTCAGATGGAAAAACAATTTTCCAAGTTTTTTTGCTACAGTCTATTAGAAGAGGAAACAAGAAAGATGAATCCTAAATTTGATTTGTGGCTTTTATTAGTGAAATTTTTGTTTTTTTTTACTATATAATTATACAAGTTCATCAATATCATTAAATAGACATAAAAAAATGTCGAAAAATAAATGCCAAAACTTTTTTACTGATAGAATTTTTTTAACATTTTTTCCTGGTATCCTATCTTACTTGAAATTATTCTCTGGGGCGCGAGTTCTGAGACCCATGTATAAGATGTTCTATTTAAAAAATATGTAACTTTGGTTCACCACTCTGTATACAATACTCTGTGTACAACAAACATATTTTTAAATTCTTAAATAGTATGTTAAATATGTAGTAAAAGTGTGTTATAGACCATCGGGTTAGCCTGTACAGGGTGACCCAGGAGTGCGTGCAAGCTACATAACTTTTTTTCTATCCAAGTTATCGACATGATTTATTTTTAGGCGATAGATCCAACAATGAGGCACAATATAAAATTATTTTTATTCTTATACAGGGTGTCGCAAGATAAGATACACAACTAAGTTCTGTTTTTTTTAATGAAAACCCCAAATTTATGTTACATTTTTGAATTTGCCACTAAATTGTCAATATAACCCACCTAGGTTTTTAAACCTATCTGCAATAGTTTTTGACTTTTGCCAATTTATGTGCCAAAATTGCGTCGTGCGTAGACCCACAAAAAAATTCATAACTTCAAAACTATTCAAGATAACTAAACCAACTTTTTTCCAGTCAATTCCTTAAGCGTTGGCGCATTTTCTGAGATAAAGGCAAACTCGTAGTACGATTTTTTGATTATGACAAAATACAAATGGCAATAACTCGATTTTTTTAAATACAACACTGCATCATTGTATGGCATTTGTGAGATTTTTGCAAAATAAGAAATGTTGATGGTTTTTTTGTCGCGTAAAAAAATCATGTGGATAGAAAAAAGTTATGGAGCTTGCACGCACCCCTGGGTCACCCTGTAGCTTTTTTTGTTGTAGGAATTCGAAATTTCGGCGCGTCTGGCAGTAAAACAGCAATTAAACTCGCCGTCACAACGCATCGGCCACCCCACATCCCTGACGTCACTCGGCGTCGCGGCGCTTGCTCCACTGTTTGTATTGATTCCGGTGTCTATGACTAAGGCGAAATATCCATTTGCTATCGGATCGGCATTAAAATTTCACTCTCGCGGTCCCAATCAGAATTAATCATCATTGAGGGTTTAGACCCGCTGTAAAGTGCACCATGGTGGAAGAAGAACCGAAGATCCAAGCAATCGAAGGAGGTAACAAACGTCACCTGATCCTCCCTTGTCCTTTTCACATTTGTTTTCCAGTGACCTCGCCGACCATCGTGGGACTATGTCTTGGAGGTGCGGTTTTTGTCTTGTGCATGGCTGCCTTGACGTGCTTCTGCTATCGTCAGCGGAGGAACCACAACGCCAAACGCCATGGACCCGACCAGCCGTTGGCCTTCCACACCCATCGGAGACCCACGGCTGTCAAGAGTCCAGCAGGGGCGACGACGCACTACTTGAAGAAGAGTCCCAGTCCCACGGGACCCTCGAAAACACCCCCTGGGGTAAGTCGAAGTGACACCAGTGGCGAGGGATACATACAAGGTTTTTTCTTTGAAGATGTCAGCTCCGCATACGCCTAGTCCAACAGGTAGTTCTTCGGGGAGTATGGCTGGGCCTTTGGAGAGTGGGGTTTCCAATGGGAATGACAAGCTGGATCACAGTGCAACCATGAAGGATGTGTATACGACGGAAAATGAAGTGCATACACCCACGAAGGAAGAAATTGAAACGAATGAGAAAAATCTGCAGCAAAATGCGTCGTATCTTGGACAGCTCGTTTTCAAGCTCAGGTTTGTGGACGACATTTGCAAATTTATGACCGAGATGTTTGTTTAGGTATTTTATTGCCAAAGTGTTTTTCTTGCAATATAGAATATTAAACGTATATACCAAAAAAAATAATCACAAAATGCTAGAATTGACTAAACTGTGTGTCCCAATAACTAATAGTACTTAATCACTCAACATTAATTAAGGCATTTACAGACAATTGTTTGGAGGAGGAGCGAATTATTTTCTGAAATCGGTTAAGTCCTTAAAGTCCATGATGCCTATGACATTTTTGCGCGATTAATTTTTGTTATTTTTTTTTAATAAAATAATGCCAAACCTCGCGCCCCAGAAAATTTTCAAGTAAGGTAAGATACCAGGAACATGAAAAAAATGTTTAACAAATTTTGACATTTATTTTTTGACATTTGACATTTTTTATACTTATTTAATAATACAGATGATCTTGTATATGTTTTTTTTACAATTATTTATTAAAGGGGCAAAAATTTTGCCAATAAATCCACAAATAACATTGAACAGAGTTACAATTTAGGATGCAGCTTTCTTGTTTCCTTTTTCAATAGCCTATAGCAAAAAATTTTGGAAAATTATATTTCCAACAGAAATAAATAGAGTCAAAGTGCAAACTTTAAACCCTCATAACTAAGGCTCGGATTATATGCAAAATGCATATTTGTTATTAAAAGGTATATCAACAAAATTGTAAGCTTTCAATGCATATCTAATGTTTTTTAATTAAAATAAGCCAAATAAAAAATGTATATTTTGCATATTTTAGGAAATATTGCATATTTGTGCGTATTTTCTTCAAATTAAAAATTTTAGTTCAAGATAAAAATTGGACAGTTTATAAAAAATGATCCGATTACAAAACATTTTAAAGAGAAAACAACCGGTAATTCGTAAACCAAACTCAAAAAATTAGTATTCTGCTGAGAGTTTCCTTTTTAAATTGTATTAAACCAAGCGTTTTTTTTGAAATCATTTGTTTCCAAAAAATAATAATTAATATAAATTAAAGTAATATAAAAAATGATCTTATTTTAAGAACAAAATTTTGTTTTGTTTTTGAGTTATTCGATGTTTGCTGTCTAAATTGTGATATATGAAAAAAAAATAATTTAATACAAAGTGGATAGTTGTAATCCCTTAGATCATAACCTTCATGAAAAAAATGTTTTTTTTTGGTGGGTTCCCATTTAAAAAAATTAATATTTTTGTAAAACATCACATTTTTATAGAACTTTATAGGTACTCGTAATTCATCAATCAGTTTTTTCAAAAAATAAATACGTTTGACTTTTTATTGTTCAAAATTTTGTATATTGATGCATATTTGGCATATATTGGAACATGTTTTTTAATATTTTGTGCATATTTTTGTGAAAATAGGTGCATATATATGCGCATATTTTACGATTTTTTTGTGCATATAATCTGATCCTTACTCATAACTTACCTAGAAATTTTTATAGATAATTTTTTTTAACATTTTTTCCATGTTCCTGGTATCTTACCTTATTTTTCTCTAGCTCACCTGTATATCCATTTGCTCTCTATTCCATTCAAATCTCTAGTTTCCATTTTTTTTAAACAGGTATCTATCAATACTCTATACCTCGTGCCATTTTTATCGCCAATTTGTCACTTTTTATTAAGTTTTTTCTGTACAAAATAGTAGTTTTTTGGTTCTAGATTTGTCAGTGGAGTTCAGTTGTAACATATTCTTCTTTTAAAAAAATCAAATGTTTGTGATCTTTTTCACCTCAAAAAAACGCAATTGCGTTTTAAAATAATAGACAAGACAGTGCATTGGCTCATAGTTTACAAAAAAGTCTTTTAATCAACTACAAAAGTACAGCTTTCTAATAACTCAAATTATAGTGAATTGTTGAATTGTTAGATAGTTTAAATAAAAAAAACGTTAAAAGATTTTAAGAGATGATTCTATCTGCCAGTCTAATGAACCTATGTCCGAAAATGCTTCCTAAATAAGAAATTTAGACCTATAATTCGACCATATACAAGTGCGCCAGAACTCGCGCCCCAAGGAAAAATATAAGGTAAGATACCAAGAACACGGAAAAAATGTTAAAAAAATTTTATCTATAAAAATTTCTAAGTTATGAGAGTTCAATTTTTGCACTTTGACTCTATTATTTATTTCTGTTAGAAAAATAATTTTTCAAGTTTTTTTGCTACAGGTTATAAGAAGAGGAAACAAGGAAGGTGTATCCTAAATTGTAACTCTGTTATGGCTTTTATTGGCAAATTATGTGCTTTTATTAAATAATTTAAAAAAAACATACACAAAATCATCAGTATCATTAAATAGACATAAAAAATGTCAAATGTTAAAAAATAAATGTCAAAATTTTTTGACAAAATTTTTAAAACCATGTTTCTGGTATCTTATCTTACTTGAAACTTTTCTCTGGACCGCGAGTTTTAGCTCACCCTGTATAGAAAAACTTTGCGTGAGTTGGTTTTTTGAATTATGTTAAGAAAAAACTCGAAACGGTGCGTCGTACAAAAACAACACAAAAGATATTTTTGAAAAAAAAATATGACAATATATCCGAATCTGCTAAAAAAATTAAAAAAACTTTTTCCAAGGTAAAATCTTACAGCTTAAATAGATTGAACTTAGTGCCCCTGCCCCCCTAATTAAAAAACCCACATAATTTTTGATATTATCGATAGATTCAAAAAAAAAAAAAATTCAAATGCGAACTTTTGCATATCCACTGGTTACCGAGATAATTGCTCATTGTCTTCAAAGAGTTCTAGCTCCCTTAAGAAGTATTTCCGGGTATAGGTCCATAGAAATTTTTTTTCTTAATTTGACCAAAGGAACCACTCTCCAAAATCTTTTAAGATTTTTTCCGGATTCTCTATAAAAAACTTACTGTGTGACAGTTCTTTCCCGAATTAAAGTAGATAGGTTTAAAAAAAATCCTTTTTATCGTACAAAAGTAACACAACAGACACGTTTTTTAAAGAAAATTAATAAGCAAAATAGAATTTCTAAAAAAATTATAGTACTACTAGATTTAGCGTCAAAAAATTACCCCGTACCCAGATTTTTGTAAAATTATCTTAAATGGTTATTGAAAAAAAGACCTTTTGTTCGCAATTTTTAGAGAATGCTTAGAAGCATTCCGGACATAGGCACATAAAAACTTTTTTTCTTGTATTCAGGGCCGCCGCAAGATAATAATAATAATAAAGTTTGGGTATTCCTTTGTACCTAGAAAAAAATATATTCGCAGAATTTTGTTAAGATTAAACCAAAAGAAAATTTTTATTAAATTTGTTTATCAAGAAGTGTCAATAAATCAAAGTAGGTAATTAATTAAAAAGTATTTAAAATGTTGTTTTCTAGAGTTGTAAATAATCAAATAAGTTTTACATTGAAAATTATACTTAAAAAAACTGTACTTTTTTAAATTTCATACTACCTATGCAGTCCCGTTTCATCGAATTCGATAAGACCGAGAAGAGGACCAACGCTACGAAATAAAAATTCGGTTCAAGCGGAACAAAGAATTTATATATTTTTAAACTTTTATTTTGTAAAATGAAATATTAGATTCTGAAGAAAATTTACACTTTTAAAACTCCGCATCATTTATTTTGTTTAAAATATCAACTCAAATTGTGATAAAAACAACTAATACGATTTTGTAAAGGCATGTAAGGAGTTTTATGGGTAGTAGCAATATTCCAAGAATTATACAACAAATGTGATACCAAAATTGTTTAACTGCATCTATTCTGCTAGAAAAAAATTAAATTTCTTGAAATAATTTGAAAAAGTGATATAGTTTCATAAGAAACTTTACTACTTGTCACTTGCCTCCGCCTCCCTAATTAGAGTACACAATTTGTAATATCACCAATAGATTCATTCAAATTACTTCAAATGTAATCTTTTGTAAATTTATGTCCACCGGTTACTGAGATAATGGAAAAAAAGATCTTTTAGCTTTTTTTTAGCTCACTGAACATAGTTTTTTGAACATTTGTTTTTTTTTCTTCTTTTGACGTAGGAGACTTGCCCCCAAAATCTTCCAATATTTTTTCCGAACATCCGGACCTCCAGTATGATGACTTTCTCTGCATATTGTGTTGTAGTTTGTTTTAAATGTTAATGTATTTAATTTTTTTTGCATCTTTTGTTGTTTGAGTAATTCAATTTTTTTACAAGCCCTGCTTGTATTGACTTAAGAAATCACCTAAAGTAATAGAATGATTCGAGTTTGCTAAACTCTTAAATTCTTCTAGATATAAACACGATAAGAACGCTCTCATCGTCTCAGTGGTCCGCTGCCGCGACCTCCCCGCCAAAGACCCCAACCTCGGTTCCAGCGACCCCTACGTCAAACTGCAACTCCTCCCTGACAAACAACACAAAGTCAAAACCCGAGTTTTGCGCAAAACTCGCAATCCCGTCTACGACGAAGACTTCACTTTCTACGGAATCAACTTCAACCAACTGCCCAACATCACTCTCCACTTCGTCGTCCTCAGTTTCGACCGCTATAGCCGCGACGACATCATCGGTGAAGTTTTCTGTGCTTTAAACACCGTCGATGTCACTCAAATTGAAAACCAACAGATGGCTCTATGTAGAGAAATCCAACCGCGAAGCCTCAAGGTGGGGACTACTAGAGGCAGGGCTTAATCTAACTCCTCCTCTTTTACAGATTCGGTCCCAAGGGCGTGGCGAGCTTCTGGTTTCGTTGTGCTGGCAACCGGCAGCCAATCGACTCACTGTAGTCGTCCTAAAAGCTCGAAATTTGCCTAAAATGGACGTGACGGGATTGGCTGATCCTTACGTCAAGATTTACTTGCTCTACAATGGACAACGGATTGCCAAAAAGAAGACTCACGTCAAGAAACGGACGCTGAGTCCTGTTTTTAATGAAAGTTTCGTTTTTGATATTCCTGCAGGAGGAGAAGGTTTGGAGAACGTCAGTTTGGAGTTTTTGCTCCTTGATTGGGATAGAGTGACCAAAAATGAGGTAATGAAATTGTCACAAAAGGCGTGGTTTAATTTGGGTTTTGTCACAAGGTGATTGGTCGACTTGAAATGGGCGGGGCCAAGTGTACCGGAACGGCGCTGCACCATTGGAACGAAGTCTGCAATTCAGCTCGCAGACAAATCGCCGATTGGCACAAACTTAGAGAGTAGGCGGGTGCAAGTGACTGATAGTTTTCTGATTGGTTCGAATGGTTGGTTTAAAATTGGCGCTTGTAGATTAGCCAATAGTAATTGTGTAATTGTTTCACCGCAAATATAGTAGGCTTTGTTTTGTTGTTGCATAGGTTTTGTGTAAATAAGAACAATAAATGTTTCTAGTTAGGCTTTTGGAAAGTATAGACCGATTTTTTTGGAATTAGTAAATCTTTCCCTCTATTAACTGATGAGAAAAAGCAATCGGGCAGGGTCGCGCTTAACAAGACTTAAAATTGAGATTAGCTTTGTTACAAAAGGGTTTGTGATATAGATTTAAGCTGATTAAAAAGTACCAAAAATGTAATCTAAATGTATTATAACTGCGCACTTTAGAGCAACTTGCACGCTACTGGCGTAGAAAAATCTATCACTCAAAAAATGTATTTCTCAAATACATTTGAGGATTTCTAAAAAATACTCCCGGATTTTGGGCCATTTTACTCACAACTTTTACCAATTAATAGAACAACGAAAGCACGCACATACTCTAATCCGACATACTCAAAAATCCGCAAATGTATTAACGCACCTCTACAATGTAGAATAACTAAAACCATAGTTAAGTATTAAAATGTAAATTTCTCATAGGCCCAGTGCTCGGATGATTTTAGGTTGAAGTACGCAGTGTTGCCAGGTTTGGTAAAATTTCACCAGATTTGGTGATTTTCATGTTAGTCTGGTGATTTGGAAAACTTTTGCAAAAATTCTAATATCTGGTGATTTTTTGTAAATGTAAAAAACAGTTTTTTAAGCATTTTCTACGTTTTCAACTAGAAACTTGATTGTCTTGTCAAGTTTTTTCAAAAAAGTCGAGAAACCACCAAATTGGTTAAAAATAGTTCTGTTTTTTTACAGGATCGAAAATGCCGATCAATCGAAAATTTTGTTTTTTTTTCGAATACTTTTATATCTAGAAATACGATTATATCGCAAAATTTCGTTAGAAACAATCCAGAAATTTAACAAATTCGACCAAAAAAAGCGTTTTCCAAGTGTTTTTGCATGTTTTTGAAATAAATACAAAAAAATTAAAAATTCCGTTAAAGCAGGCAAAAAATTTATAAAACTAAATCAAAATCCATTATTTTTAGCTTCTTTTACTCGACATCGTTTTTGAACAAGAGGCTTATTTATTTTGCAAAATCTTGTCCAAACACGCTTAAAAATCACAAAAACAATTGATATTGATGTTGTTTTGTTTTGAGCAAAATAAGACAAAAATAAGTGAAAAAACGTTATTGTTTTAAGGTTTTTTGCCAGATTTTGCTAAAACAAACTGAAAATTACCATATTAAGTTGAAAATTACATTCTGCAATTTTTAAGTTTTAGCATATTTTTCAGCTAGAAACGCAATTAAAAACAAGGCAAAAAAACACAAAATTAGGCACATTTTTAAGCTAAAAACTGCGTTTTTTCGCGAGATTTTGCCATACAAATAGTAATCTGGTAAAAATCTGTCAAATTTTTTAACTCGGACCTGGAGAATTTTATTATTTTGATCTGGCAACACTGGTAGTGGCCTAAACTCACCCGAACCCTACTCCAACTTATATAGGACACACAGTAGTAACGTAGACTTAGTATTTAAATAATTTCAGCTCTAAATGCGTACTCACAGCTAATTATTTGTTGGTTGATATACAGTATGTTCTCATTGTTGGTTATTTTACCTAAGCACACTGTATATATTACTCACGTGACATGATTTTCTATTTTGTTTGTTCGAATTGCTTTCCAAGATACTCTCGGACCTACTTATACTCGGTTCCAAAAATTATAAATGTATATATAAAAATAAATAAATAAATGTTTCAATGGTTTTTAACCAAACTTTTCTTTGAAACCCCCACTAATTTTAACAATTAGTAATTTAGATTTAAACGTGTTTACAGAGTGAAACGTAAATGATGTCAGTTATGTTTGTTTAAAAATTTCGACGTTGCAAGTTTAAAAAGACCACAGTTTAATAAATATCGGTGCAAACAAACACTCCTAATTTTGTAACACAAAACACGTGTTTCTAAATTTCCAATTGTGTGAAATTACCTTTTTGATAATAATAGATAATGTTTGTCGTTTTTGTCCAATTGCCGACAAAATAAAATAAAATTAGAACGAGCGTTTCTCGTCACTTTTGTTAAGTGTCTTATCTCTGATGTTGATAAGTTTTACATTTCCTAATATCAAACAATCAGTGTTACGTGTGTTTTCCCAAACCGTCTCGTGTTTTAATAAAAATGTGCAAAAGTTTTCTAAAATTGTGAAGTGTGTAATTTTTGAAACACCTAGATATGATAAAAACCTTTATCTGTCAGCAATGCGGAATGTCAATTCTGGAAGAAAAAGAAACTGCAACAAAAGATAGGAAGGTTATGCAAAATACTATTGAAATTGATGGAGAGTTGGTACAGCTAAGAGAGAAAAATGTTAAAAATCAGAAAAAAACAAAAAGAAAAAGTTTGAGGAGTTCGATTAGAGAAAGCTTTAGGAATAATGCATTGAGGAGGTCTTTGGTCAGAAGAGCCAAGAGTTTCGAACCACAAAAAGGTAAAAAAATGACGTAAAAATAATATTTGGTTTATTATTCAAGCGATGGTGCAAATGCTACTAAAAATAATTTTACCTCTGTCAAAAAATAAGCATAGTACTACTACTTAGATTACAAAATTCAAAATTAGTTAAGTGAAAAAATTAAATCTTTACTAGAATATGGACCAAGCACTTTTTTAAGTATTTTTAAAAATTATTGATTCATGATTGATTCCTAATAACTCTAAATTAGAAATTTATAAAATACATAATTTTGTTAATTAAATTGAAATCGAGCCGAAAACCAAAAACCTTACAACTATTCTTATTTTGTCTGCAAAATAGTATAATATGTCATTAGGAGTAAACGTCATAGTTTATGTGACAAAGCTGAACGTTTATTTTGCCGAACGCAGGTTAAAGAAAATTATGCATTAATAATGACATTGTCAAGAAAACAAATCATTATTAACTTAATAATCTTTTTAACTGTTTTTTCAAAATAAAATTAATTAACATAATTTTTGAACGAAATAGGCTTTCTCTAATTTAAACTTGATTTTATGTAAAACAACATACGAATTAAAAAATTGTTTATTTGCAAGAATTCCTCGTGTGCCTTCATCACGAGTGGTTAAATTCTTTGAGCAGAAAGCGAAATTAAAATTTACTTCAGAATTAAACTAATTCGAATTAAGTTGCCATTTATTTTGCATTGACAAACGTCAAGTTAATCGCGAATTAAATTTAATTGTGATTAACACGTTTTTTTTTAAACCGGTATTAAGTTTTCTATTAATTTTGTAATTGTCACTGAAAGCGAATTAAAATTATTTATTAATTAAAACACGAAACAAACGCCAAAATTATTTCAAATATTTTAGTTCTGCTACAAAATTTATTTTTTGATAATTGTAATACGTTTAAATGAAATAAAAATGTTTAGTTTTGTAAACACAATTTATCAAAAACCATTTCTTAAAGGAAATTATGCATTAATAAGTTGAAATTTACAAAAAAACAAATTATTGTTAATGTAATACAATTTTTGATAAACTGATTTATAAAATTAAATTAAGTTAAGTATTTAATACAGTTTTAATTTAGAGAACAGATTTCATAAAATCTATAAAGATTTGCGGTAGGTTCGTTGATCAACGTGATTTTAAATGATAATGAAAAAAAATATAAGTAATTTTTATCAAATTGCGTCTGACTTACTTGATGGAAATCATTTGTAATAAATAATCATCTTGTTCAAAGTGTTTCATCGAAAACTATAGCACATATTTTTGATGTTAAAAAAAATGACCCAACATTTTAATATAAAACCTGTGCATTTTTTATACTCCTATCAATTTACTAAATTTTATAAAAAAAATAGTTAATTTACAAAAATTATAAAATTTCGTGTCAAACAAATTGTTTCAAAATATATACAGGCGGTACCCAAAGACGCGTACCTCCTTGAAGGAGAGTAATTGGGTAGTCTCCCAAAGTACAAAAAAAAATGTTAAAAAATTGTATCTGTCAAAACATTTACACATTTAACTTTTTTTATGTCTATTTAATGATACTAATAATCTTGTATATGTTTTTTTTACAATTATTTAGTAAAGGTACAAAAATTTTGCCAATAAAAGCCACAAATAACACTAAACAGAGTTACAATTTCCTCTTCTAATAGCCTGTAGCAAAAAAACTAGAAAAATTATTTTTCCAACAGAAAAAAAAGTAAAACTGCAAAATTTTAACTTTCATAACTTCGAAATTTTTATAAATAGATTTTTTTAAACATTTGTCACGGAGTGCCCCTGTATACTTAAAAATGCCCTGGCTTTTTCTATTGTGTACAAAATTCAAATAAAATATTAATTTACAAAATAAAAAGTTTGTCAATTTAATTTTGTAAACTTAGATATAAACAATTTTTTGGTAAAATGAAATTAATAAACAATATTTTATTAAATTTTGAGAAAAACTGCAAATATTAATCCGTTTAAAAGAAAACGTTTTATAAAATGTTAAGTTAGTTTTTCATTAAATTTATAAACATTTAAATATTATTATTAGTTGCTATTGCATTCCCACAGCAGGGCTTTTATAGCAATTAGTCTTACGAAATAATTTTCAATTTATTTTTAATCTGTTTTAAATAGAATCTAAATCAGCCTGTATAGTAATCAAAAATTCTTATATAAAAGTTACATCGTTTTCTACCAAGCACTGTAAAAATTATTAAAAATTTGTGGATCGCAACAACTTCATTATTTTTAAACTATTTTCACTTCAATGAACATAAATGCTAAATAAATATGAGAAATTAGATTTACTAGAATATGCTTCAGTTTATGTAATAAAAACAATACATGACAAAATTAAAATATTTAAATATAAACATACTTACTTGTCAAAAAATTTTGATTCAAAATTAAAAATTTGTAATTTTTTTGAAAAGTAAATAAATTACGTTTCAGAACGTCCCCGAATCAAACCAAAACGCTCCAAAACAATGAAATTCTTCACGTCGACCGTCCCCCGTTCACTCTTCAACCCCCTCATCATTCGAATGTGAGTAAAATTCCAGAACAGCTGTATATTTTTTGACAATTTTTATATGCTCAAGGGCAAACTGCAGAGGCTTTCCTTTGACGCACACACGTCCAAAACCGCTGTTTTTCCTTTCAATCAATAATTAGGAGCAGCCGCAATCTTGGCCACCAGTGGCGTTCGTCCAAATCGCACGTGCAAGTCGCATTTTAGCCAAAATGAACCACTGCAAAACCCAAATCAACCATAATGTTTTGCGTAAACCAAACAATCAAATTTTTCAATTAAAAAGCCACAGATTTATTTCTAATTAAAATTTGATTTATCAAATTGTGTCATTGTCGTGTGAGTTATTTCCTTCTATTAATAAATGGCAAAAATCATCCGTGATTTCTCCGGAATTATTTAGGTTCCTGGTCGCCGTCACTGGTTGGCACCACGAAAAGTCCGGGATCGGCTCTGAGATCCGGATCGCATCGTTCCACACGCAATCCAACTCTCGTAACTCTAGCATGGCAAAATTTTAAATTTGCAATTCCGGTAATTGCAGTTTAGTCTTCCGGTCGGTGAGATTGTGTCGCCTAAAATTCGCACCCTAGTTTAGTGTAAGCTTCGTTTTCGAAACGTGAAAGGTAAGCTTTCGAAAGTGATTCTTGAATGGTTGTTTGACCGGAAAACTGGCCGCTAATTGGCGATAATTTCCGATAATTGCGGGTTAGAAGCACGCTTTTGACTTTAACCTTGGTTACTGACCCGGTCAATAGGTTTCGCATGGGCGTATCCGTTGGAATTGGTGCATCCATTGAAAAAATTGAAATCAACAAAAAATTGTGGTTTCATTCATTTTAATTCAGCGAGGAGTTTTAATTTCGCTTGTAGATTGCTGAATAATGAAGAGGAATGCCGGCGTGATTTATTGATGATCCAAACAAGAACGAGCTTTTCAAATGAAAAATTTACACAACATCCCAAAAGAATTTTCTAGACAAAATGATGAAGCCAAGCTTTATGTTTCGGTTTGTAACTAAATTTTGATTAAAATTATTTCTTTCAATTTCAATTTTTTTTTTAAAAAAAAACTTCAAATTGTTTAATAAATAATAATGTGTTCAAATAATAAATAAATCGATTAACTTTCATTACCTATTGGGGTTAATTTGCCGTAATCTATTTACATTAAATTTTATTTTAATAACCAATAATACTCTGTGTATTTAGTAAAAATTATAATTCAATTAAATAT